TTTCCTGGTATATATCCCATCTTAGTCATGATTTTTTGACTTGTGGGGCTGTATAATGGAGCGGGCATAATGATTTCCGCACCCCATTGCTGTAATAAATCTCGACCCCATAGATTAACAGGAATTGAAGTAATCATTGGCTGAACAGTACTTTCTTGATTATCTGGTCCTAAACAATGTAAAATCATTGTACTTTCGTACACTTCTGAAGCTGTGCCTACGCCGACAAGTCTTGTAACAGCCTTTTGTTTAGGCCAATTTTTTGGCCATTGATTTAAAGCAATGACAGAGATATCTGCTCCAGTGTCTACCAACCCTTCAAACTGTTTTCCTTGAATAATGGCCTTACACACAGGTCTGCTCTCAGAGACCAGATTTGCCCAATATGCAGCCTTTCCTGTTGGATCAGTGCTTCCGAACCCTCCTGTTCTTTTTATCTCACTGTTTCCAACTTTAATATAAGGTAGGAGTAATAATTGAGCAATCCTGTCTCCTGGACTGGCACTCCAAGGAATTGAGGAACTAATAACCAATTGAATTTCGCCTTTAAAGTCTGAATCAACCACACCAGTATGAATTTGAACTCCTTTTAGATTTAAACTTGATCTTCCTAAGATTAGTCCTACAGTCCCCTCAGGCAATGGGCCATATACCCCTGTGGGGATTTTTTGTGGAGGCTCCCCTGGAAGCAGAGAGACTGCTTGTATGGTGCATAAATCTACCGCTGCACTGCCGCTTGTGGCGGGGGATAATTGCTGTATTGTGATAACTGGCTTATTCCCTGAGACACTTGTGGCAGTGGGGGTTGTTGTTCCTGAAAACCCTGAGGAACAAAGGGCTGAATTTGGAATGCCCCAGTTTGTTGCGGGGCCTGAGGCTGGCCCCTCCTCTCGTTTCCCGACAGTGGTTGCCCATTTTTATCAAATTTAGAACGACATTGATTACCCCAATGTTTTCCCTTTTTACATCTTGGACATAGGCCAGGTGGCTCTTTATCTGTTCTTGTAGTAGTTTGAGTAGTTACATTTTGTTTGAGACTAGGCAATTCTTTTTTAGATGACCAATTTGACCACAATTATAACATCTTCCCCCAAATGTTCTAACCTGTCCTCCTAAAGCAACTCCTGTGATTGCTTGAGCCATAAGCATAGCTTTATGCATAGCTCCTCCAATTCCATCGCAGGCCTTAACGTACTCTGAGATTACATCTGATCCTGCGGGAACCCTTCCTTTTAATGGCTTAATGGCTGATTGACAATCAGGATTGGCGTTTTCATATGCCATCAACTCCACTATGACCTTACGGGCATTGTCATCGGTAATTGACTTTTGAGCAGCATCTTGAAGTCTTGCTACAAAATCAGGGTAGGGCTCTTTAGAGCCTTGTCTTATTGTATTAAAGGAGGGGCAGGCGGTTCCTGGGTCTTGGATTTTCTCCCAGGCCCTAAGGCAGATAGCCCTGATTTGCTCAATGGCCTCATTTGGCATTATTACTTGTTGGTCAACAGTGCTCCAATTTTGACCTATTCCTAATAGTTGATCTGCATCTATGTCAATTGGAGGATTGGCAGTCCTATTTTTTCGGACCTGTACTTGTGCCCCATCAATCCACCAAGTCTTAAATTGTAAAAATTGAGAGGGTGAGAGTGAGGATTTTGCCAGAATCTCCCAATCATAAGGAATGAGTCTATGTCCATGAGCAATGGAATCTAATAATGTTCTCATGTAAGGAGAGTTGGGTCCATACTGTTTTACTCCCTCTTTCATTTCTTTTAGCATTTTTATAGAAAAAGACTTATATCTGGCTTCAGCTACGGGAAGCTCTCCCTCTTGGGCCCCTTCTCCAGGTGGTCTTGCTTCTAATATTACTGGGAATTGCCACGCCTCAATATCTCCTTGTTTTCTTGCCTCATCAATAATTTTATGTAACGCACTACCCTGTGTACTAGGCAGTGCTGTAGGATTAAGTCTCATGGTGGGCGGTTGAGGATATGGCGCCCTGCCCTGTGGCGCTAGAAATGTTCCTGGCTGTCCACACGGATTTTCTGGGGGCAACCGATACCGCAGTTCGGCTGGCAGCCAGTATTGATAGGCTACTGGCGGCTGGGTCTTATCTTCTACCGGCTGATATTGTGGACACTGCATTTGGAATGGCATTGCCATGACAGAAACTCTATCTTTTTCTATTTGATCTTCTTTTGGAGTTTGTACTTGTTTAACCTGCATTTGAGGTTGTAAAGTTACAGGCATTTGAGCTGCTGGAAGAGCAGTTGGCCATCGTGGTTTAGACTCTGATGGCTCTGCTAATTCTGGATTTTTTTCTTCTAATTTTAACGTTTCAGGATATACTACCTCCTGTAATTGATTATTGTCAACATTTTGCGTTGACCGAGCCATAGCCGGCTCTGATACACATTCACAGTGTGAACTTTCCTTTCCTTTCCGGGATTCTATCCCTGCCTCTTTTTCACAATCTACTGCACAGCTTTTAGGGACATCAGAAATTGGAACGCTATCTTCTTCTGTTTGAAATGGTTCTAAAGCTACTTTAATAATGACCCAATCATTCCATACTGTGAGCGGAATGATTTTACCTTCCCTGCTTGCTTGTTTTAATTCTTTGCCAATTTTTTCCCAATCTTTTAGATCTAAAGTTCCCTGTTCCGGAAACCATGGACAAAACTGCTCTATTGTTTGAAATAGCGTAATTAGATTTTTGGTAGAGACTTTAACTCCCCCTCTTTTTAAGAGAATTTTAATAAAGCTGCGATAAGAGGCATATTTACTCTTAGTTTGCCCCATTGTTACCCTAGGTTCTTCCGAGCGCACAAGCTTACCACAAGGCTGACTGTAGACGTACTCGGAGTCTCTCGTCGACTTGTCCTCAGTGACCACGCTCCAGCGTACCTTCACCTTAGAGAAAAGCTTCCACGTTGGGCACCAGATGAAGGGGTGGCCTGCCCCTCCACACCTGTGGGTGTTTCTCGTTAGGTGGAACGAGAGACTTGAGAAAAGAAATAAGACACAGAGACAAAGTATAGAGAAAGAAAAGCGGGGCCCAGGGGACCGGCGCTCAGCTTACAGAGGACCCACGCCGGCACGGCCTCTGAGTTCCCTTAGTATTTATAGATAATTATCTTTACCATCTTAAGGATAAGGGAGTGGCAGGACAATAGGATCATTTTTAGGGAGGAAATTAGCAGTAAGACATAAGAACAAGGATCTGTGACATGAATAAGTTTAAAGGAAATCCTGTGCCTTGAGATAAACCTTTTAGCAACATTGTTTCATCCTATCACATGGGGATAAACCTTGGACAATACCTAGCTTTTCTAGGAACAAAGTCACACCCTGCACGCCCAAAATCCATTAAACCTTGAGTTACCACAGCACATGTCTCTTGCAAGGACAAGGTTGGGGGTAGGGTCACAGATTAACAGCATCTCAAATACAGAACAAAATGGAGTCTCTTATGTCTACTTCTTTCTATATAGACACAGTAACAGGCTGATCTCTTTCTTTTCCCCACATTCTGACCCCAGGTTGGAGCGATGTGGTGCAACCACTGCTCAAGGCAGCCTCAACCTCCCAAGCTCAAGCCATCTTCCCACCTCAGCTTTCCAAGTAGCAGGGACTACAGGCACATGCCACCAAGCCTGGCTGGTTTTTTTTTTTACTTTTCTTTTGTTTTGAGACGAAGTTTTGCTCTTTCGCCCAGGCTGGAGTGAAGTGGCATGATCTCGGTTCACTGCAACTTCCGCCCCCCAGGTTCAAGCGATTTTTTTTTTTTTTTTTTTTTTTTTTGAGACGGAGTCTCGCTCTGTCGCCCAGGCTGGAGTGCAGTGGCGCGATCTCAGCTCACTTGAAGTTCCGCCTCCCGGGTTCACGCCATTCTCCGGCCTCAGCTTCCCGAGTAGCTGGGACTACAGGCGCCCGCCACTGCGCCCGGCTAATTTTTTTCTATTTTTAGTAGAGACGGGGTTTCACCATGGTCTCGATCTGCTGACCTTGTGATCCGCCCGCCTCGGCCTTCCAAAGTGCTGGGATTACAGGCGTGAGCCACCGCGCCCGGCCTCAAGCGATTATCCTGCCTCAGCCTCCCAAGTAGCTGGGATTACAGGCATGTGCCACCACGTCCGGCTAATTTTTGCAGTTTTAGTAGAGATGGAGTTTCACCATGTTGGACAGGCTGGTCCCGACCTCTTGACCTCAGCCTCCCAAAGTGCTAGGATTACAGGCCTGAGCCACCACACCTGGCCTCTTTTTTTTTTTTTAGATGGAATCTCACTCACTCTGCCACCCAGGCTGGAAAGCAGTGGCACAATCTCTGCTCACTGCAACTTCTACCTTCCAGGTTCAAGCAGTTCTCTTGCCTCATCATCCCGAGTAGCTGGGATTACAGGCGTGCACCACCACGCCCAGCTAATTTTTGTATTTTTTTTGTGGAGACAGGGTTTCACCATGTTGGCCAGGCTGGTCTTGAACTCCTGGACTCAAGTGATCTGCCCACCTCGGCCTCCCAAAGTGTTGGGATTACACGTGTGAGCCACTTTGCCTTGCCTAAGGCTAATTAAAAAAAATTTTTGTTTTTTGAGATGGAGTTTCGCTCTTGTTGTCCAGGCTGGAATGCAATGGTGTGATCTTGGCTCACTGCAACCTCTGCCTCCTGGGTTCAAGTGATTCTCCTGCCTCAGCCTCACGAGTAGCTGGGATTACAGGTGCCCACCACCACGCCTGGCTAATTTTTGTATTTTTAGTAGAGACGGGGTTTCTCCATGTTGGCCAGGCTGGTCTCGAACTCCTGGGCTCAAGTGATCCTCCTGCCTCGGTGTCCTAATATGCTGGGATTACAGGTGTCAGCCACGATTCCTGGCCCATAGTTTTGTTAACAGCTTCCTGGGCAGTCTCCCGACCTATTTCCAGTGACACCAGGCTTCATTCAGTCTGTTCATCACTGTGACTGAGAGGAAAGCACTGGAATGAGTATTCATTCTGTTTTAAGCAAATTCATGGTTTCCAGGCTGAGCATCACTATTCCTAGAAGTAAAGCATGGAAGTGAGTAGGCACACTGTACAGGAACACATACACGATATACAGAGAAAGTGACCCTACAGAAAACACTGCTGAGGCTACCCTACTGGTCACTCTAGAGCAGACCACCTGCAACAGAATCACCCAGAACATCCAAAAAATAAAGAAAAATAATGATAACTAATATTTATTAAGTACTTCCCATGTGTTCTAAGTGCTTTACCATATTCATTCATTCCTTTAATCCTTGGGGAAAAACCTGTAAGTAGGCTCCTGTCACTAGCCCCATTTTACAGGCAAGGAGACTGAAGAACAGGAAGGTGAAGTCATTTGCCAGTATGCTTGACTGCTGGAAGGGAGGGAGGCTGTGCAAGGAGAGCTGCATGTTTATAGTGCTCCTGGGTTCGTTCTAAGTCTGAGAATCACGGAGTACAGGACTTTCAGGGCTAGAGTTTTTATTTTTTACTTTTTTATGGGATGCACAAACTGCAGAGAAATGGAGTCTATGCACCGAGGCAGCAGTTTGTCACAGAAAGTGGAAGCCAGCTAGAATCCTTTTCAATCCCTTAAAAGAGAGGTTCGCAGGGGCAGACTGGAGGGAAGGGTCTGGGCTAGGAGATCTTCAAACCTCTTCTTTGGATTTCCCAGTGGCCTCCGACAGTACCTCATTCCAGGACTTCCATGATTACTCTGAAAAGCAAGGAATCCTAGCTTCCCAGGATGTGAGAGGGAGTCCCAGTCCTGTGGGAGGGAAGTTGTGCAAGTGAAAGAGGATGGATCCCATAGCACAGATGGCCTAGGTTTCTACCACCGAGGGCCTGGGCACATGAAGTTCCTTACCCGCAGCCTGTTTCTTTCAGGATCTCCCTGCCAAGATGTGAATCAGCCTTTTTTTTTTTTTTTTTTTTTGAGACGGAGTCTCGCTCTGTCACCAGGCTGGAGTGCAGTGGCACCATCTCGACTCACTGCAACCTCCTCCTCCCAGTTCAAGCAATTCTCCTGCCTCAGCCTCCTGAGTAGCTGGGACTACAGGCATGTGCCACCACGCCCGGCTAATTTTTTGTATTTTTAGTAGAGACGGGGTTTCACCGTGTTAGCCAGGATGGTCTCAATCTCCTGACCTCGTGATCTCTCACCTCGGCCTCCCAAAGTGCTGGGACTACAGGCGTGAGCCATTGCGCCCAGCCTGTGCCTGGCTTATTACTATTATTTTAAAATTAATTAATAAAATAATATTTAAAAATGTCAATTTTAGACTCGGAGTGGTAGCTCATGCCTATAATTCCAGTACTTTGGGAGGCCGAGGTAGGGGGCTCACTTCAGGTCAGGAGTTCGAGACCAGCCTGGCCAACATGGTGAAACCCTATTTCTACTGAAAATACAAAAACTAGCTGGGTGTTGTGGCATGTGTCTGTAATCCCAGCTACTTGGGAGGCTGAGACAGGAGAATTGCTTGAACCCAGGAGGTGAAGGTTGCAGTGAGCCGAGATCACGCCACTGTACTCCAGCCTGGGCAAGAGAGAGAGACTCCGTCAAACAAACAAACAAACAAACAAAAAAAGCTGGGTGCGGGGACTCACATCTGTAATCCCAGCATTTTGGGAGGCCGAGGTGGGCGGATCACGGGGTCAGGAGTCCGAGACCAGCCTGGCCAAGATGGTGAAACCCTGTCTCTACTAAAAATATAAAAATTAGCTTGGCGTGGTGGCGGGCGCCTGTAATCCCAGCTACTTAGGAGGCTGAGGCAGAGAATAGCTTGGACCTGGGAGGCGGAGGTTGCCATGAGCCGAGATCGTGCCACTGCACTCCAGCCTGGGCATCAGAGTGAGATTCTGTCCCAAAAAAAACCACAAAAAACAAAAAACTTTTTACATCATGTCTATATATTTCAAAAAGAAATTAATAGACTCTGCTTCATTCTTTTTTATATTATAAAGGGTATTGATTGTGACCAACTAAGCTAATTTCACCATCCTCTAATGGGTGACAACCTGCAGTTTGAAAAACACTGCCATCATTTACTAATTAATGACTAAAATATTGACAGAATGTACAAAGAAAGAGAACAGGCTGGGAGCAGTGGCTCACACTTGTAATCCCAGCACTTTGAGAGGGTGACGTGGGTGGATCATGAGGTCAGGAGATCGAGACCAGCCTGGCCAAGATGGTGAAACCCCGTCTCTACTAAAAATACAAACAATTAGCCAGCAGTAGTGGCATGTGCCTATAGTCCCAGCTACTCGGGAGGCTGAGGCAGGAGAATCACTTGAGCCTGGGAGGCGGAGGTTGCCGTGAGCCGAGATCGCGCCACAGCACTCCAGCCTGGGCAACGAGCAAAACTCCATCTCAGAAAAAAAAAAAAAGAAAACAAAGAAAAAATAGAAACAAAAACTTTTGCACTATAGGATCATTTCCTTCAGGACACTAAGTGAAGAGGGTCTTGCTATATATTGTCAACTGGGTGTAGTGGGTTAAATTGTATACCTCAAAAAGATAGTCCAAGTTCTAATTCCTGATACTTGTGAATGTGGACTTACCTGGAAATAAGGTCTTTGCAGATGTAATTATCATTTTTCTGTTTTTCTTTTTCTTTTTTTTTGGAATGTAGTCTCGCTCTGTTGCCCAGGTTGGAGTGTAGTGGCACAATCTCAGCTCACTGCAACCTCTGCCTCCCAGGTTAAGCCATATAAAAATTTTAAAATGATTCCTAAACTACAAGTTCTACAAAAAACAGGCATGAAAAAGGCTTAGTCCTATCCATGTACTAAATAGTACAATACTTCAATAAATAAAAGGCTGTAGTTGTATTAATGCATGAAAAGGCCAATCAATGTAATAGAACAGAAAACCAAAAATACACCCATATATATGCATAGAAATTTAATATTTAATAAAGGGGACAATTCAGATTACTGTGGAAAAGGCGGATTACTCAATCAAGGATTTAATTATCATTGGAATAAACAGGTTAACCTATTAAAAATCCATCTGAGGCCAGGTACAGTGGGTCACACCTGTAATCCCAGCACTTTGGGAGGCCAAGGAGGGTGGATCACTTGAGCCAAGGAGCTTGAGATCAGCCTGGGCAAGACAGTGAGACCTTGTCTCCACAAAAATAAAAACAATTTAAAAACTAGCCAGGCATAGTGGTCCATGCCTGTAGTCCCAGCTGCTCAGAAGGTTGAGCTAGGAAGGTAACTGGAGCCCAGGAATTTGAGGCTGCAGTGAGCTATGATCACACCCACCACTGCACTCCAGCCTGGGTAGCAGAGTGAGGCTCTGTCTCCAGCAACAACAACAACAATAACAACAAGAACAACAACAAAACAACAACAACAACAAAAAACAGTAAAATTAGATTTAAATATATATGTAAAATAATAAAAATTCATTTGAATTATACCTAACAACCTAAATCAAATCACACCTCAGGAACATCAGACATTTAAATGTAAAAAAGAAAACTCAAACCATACCAGAGGAAGCCATTAGCAAATATTTTATAGTCATGGAATAAGGAGGGCATTCCTAAGAATGAAACAAAATCCACAGACAATAAACATAAAAAGATTCAGGCTGGGCACAGTGGCTCATGCCTGTAATCCCAGCACTTTGGGAGGCTGAGGCGGGGCAGATCATGTGAGGTCAGGAGTTTGAGACCAGCCTGACCAACAGGGAGAAATCCCGTCTCTACTAAAAATACAAAATTAGCCAGGCATGGTGGCGTGTGCCTGTAATCCCAGCTACTCAGGAGGTTGAGGCAGGAGAATCGCTTGAACCTGGGAGGTGGAGGTTGCGGTGAGCCAAGATCGTGCCATTGCACTCCAGCCTGGGCAACAAGAGTGAAACTCCGTCTCAAAATAAACAAAAACAAAAACAAAAAAAGGCTGAATATATTTTGTTGTATGTCTAAATCACATTTGGTTTATCCATTCATCTGCTCATGGATTCTTGGGTTGGTTCCACCTTTTGGCCACTGTGAATAATGCTATTATAAATACTGGCATCCGTACTTATTTCAGTCTCTGCTTTCAATTCTTTTGAATATAAACCTAAAAATTGATTTGCTGGGTCATAAGGTAATTCTCTAACTTTCTGAGGACACATCAAACTGTTTTTCACAGTGGCTACACCATTTTATATCACCAGTAATAACAAGGGTTCAAATTTCTCAATATCTTTGCCAACAATTTTGTCTTTTCCATCTTTTCTTTTCTCTCTCTTCTCTTTCTTTCTCTTTTTTTTTGATGGAGTCTTGCTCTGTTCAGTCTGGAGTGCAGTGGCGTGATCTCGGCTTACTGCAACCTCCACCTCCCAGGTTCAAGCAATTCTCGTGCCTCAGCCTCCTGAGTGGCTGGGACTACAGGCACCCGCCACCACAACCAGCTAATTTTTGCATCTTTTAGTAGAGACAGGATTTTGCCATGTTGGCCAGGCTGGTCTTGAACTCCTGACGTTAGGTGATCCACCTGCCTTGGCCTCCTAGAATGCTGGGATTACAGGTGTGAGCCACCGTGCTTGGCCCCATTTTTTTGATAATAGCCATTCTAATGGGTATGAATTGGTATCTCATTGTGGTTTTGATCTGCATTTCCCTAATGACTAGTGATGTTGAACCTCTTTTCACGTTCTTATTGGCCATTTGTATATCATCTTTGGAGAAATGTCTATTTAAGTCCTTTGCTTATAATTTATTGTTTGAGATAGGGTCTTGCTATGTTGCCCAGGCTGGTCTCAAACTTCTGGGCTCAGCAATCCCCCTGCCTCAGCCTCCTGAATAGTAGGGAGTATAAGTGTGTGCCAATGCACTTGGCTACTTTATGTTTCAATTGGGTTGTTTGTTATCCTGTATATTAATCTCTTATCAGATATATAATTTGCAATTTTTTTTTCTCGTTCTGTGGGTTGTCTTTTCATTATTCTTCATGTTCTTTGATGTACAAAAGTTTATAATTTTGATGAAATCCAATTCATCTTTTTTGTTGTTGTTGCCTGTGCTTTTGGAGTCATATCTGAGAAATAATTGCCAAATCTAACATCATGAAGCTTTTGCCCTGTGTTTTCTTCTAACAGTTTTACATTTAGGTATTTGATCCACTTTAAGTTCTGTATATGGTAGGTATAAGGTAAGGAGTCCAGCAACATTCTTTTGTATGTGGATATCCAGCTTTCTAAGTACTATTTTTTGAAAAGACTGTCCCTCCTCCACTGAATGGTCTTGGCACCCTTGTTGAAACACAGGAGGACTTTAAAGTCAACTCAGATTTCTCAGCTTATTGTCTGGGCTCTTGATAACTGCTCCCTCGGTAAATGACAACATATATCAATGCAGTAGTGCCTATCATATGATAAGGCAAGGACTATTGAGCTAATGAAAGTAAAAAGCTTAGAAGAACACCTGTGGTATGTAGTAAAAGCTCAACAAATGTTGGCTATTTCATTATTAAGAGTGACACTAGAGTCCAACATCTCACTTGTTTTCATTAAAGGTTTTAACATTTTGCAGAGTCTGTTATGTAAGTCAGGCCAAAAAGTACTATACCCTGATCACAACTAATCTTTGGATTTTCCCCCAAGACATATCCTCATCCACTCCTTTGCTTCTAAGTTTATTTTGCTTCTTATAACAAGTGTTGCACTCAATACCCAAAGATAAATCTTGATCTTAACATATGGCATGCTTTTTGTCAATGCTTTTTCTATGGATACTACTAAGACCCTTAGGTTGGGTGAGTGTTAGAGTGCCACTGCACTGCACTTTAGCCTGGGTAACAAAGCCAGACCTTGTCTCCCCACAAAAAAAAGAAAAAGAAAAGGGGTCTTGCCATGTTGCCCAGACTGGTCTCAAATTCCTGGTCTCAAGCAATCCTCCCACCTTTGCCTCCCAAAATGTTAGGATTACAGGTATGAACCACTACACCCAACCAACATTTCCACTTACACTTCACCAAAAGTTTCTTTCACTTCAGACTGATTTTCCAAGTGTACGCTAAGAGGCTTTTAGTTGTGTTGATGCCACAACTGCCAGTCTACTTATTAAGTCCAGGATTTAAATGCTAAAGACACAAGAACCTGAAAAAGGCTTACACAAACTCCTCTCAGCAAGAGCCCTTAGTCTCCATTCCCACCTTCCCCAGATCCAGCTCACAGTGACCAGTCACCAGGTACCTCTTTTTTTTTTTTTTTTTTTTTTTTGAGACGGAGTCTCGCTCAGTTGCCCAGGCTAGAGTGCAATGGCACGATCTTGGCTCACTGCAACCTCCACCTCCCAAGTTCTAACAATTTTCCTGCCTCAGCCTGCCAAGTAGCTGGGATTACAGGAACCCACCATCATGCCCGGCTAACTTTTGTATTTTTGTAGAGATGGGGTTTCACCATGTTGGCCAGGCTGGTCTTGAACTCCTCACCTCATGCAGTCATCTCTTTTCTGTCCACCCAATTCCTTCTTCAGTACAGACAGAGTTCCTACTTTATTCTTCTCTCAACATAATAATTATTTTGGGGTTTCTGGGAAAAATTTATCTTACTTATTTCCATATATCAAAGGCCTATGCAGAACAGCTAAATAGATACTGATGAGAAATATACTACTAGACAAACTCTAACACTCACTTAACCTAAAGGTCTTAGAAATTTGTTCTGTAACACATTTTATTCAAACTACACTAGAGTCCTGCCTCTAACCAAGAGTAAGGGCTGAATGACTCCTTTTACCCTAGAGTGCACTAGTCTCTGAGATATACAGGGACTCCTCAATCAGTTCTCAGATGATTCTGCCTCTAGGAGCAGCAGAAACTAGAGGAAATCATGTCTGGGCTTACTTGAAGTTGTGTGCTTATCCAAAATCTGCCTTGCTCACTCAAGAGTCCAGGTATCACTGGTCTTTGAGGTCACTAGGCAGCATCCAGTCTTTGAAGCAAACCATTCCAGGTTTTTGACTCTGCTTTCCTGTCAATGTCAGCTAGAGGAACTCTTCTCCCTGCCTTGGCCCTGGCTGGTCCTGGTTCCGCTCTGGCTCATTTGCTTCTGCACCTGGCCTAGGATACCACATGATTAATTCCTTCCTGTGTGCCTCTGGCCCAGGTTTGCCAAGGGAATGCACTCAGAGCAGCTCTACCTATTCCTGTCAATCAGTTGCTGGTTGAGCACTGGCACTGCACATACCTGCTCTACAGAATCTTAAACCTTCAGGAGTCTACCTGCTCACAGGTCCTGTGTTCCTACAGGCCTTCTTCATCAAGGGTGGGGTCACAGTTTTGCCCCAAGAGGGCAACCTGCCTCCTTGTTCCTGTACTGGCTTGAGACTCCTAGGCTGTGTGTGAACTAGCTGATAGGCCAGAAGCTTTAGGATGAAAAGAATACTGGAGAAGTCCTCAAAGTTAGAACTTTTATTGGTGTCTGTGTCCCCTCACTCCTGTTACCTATCTTGACCCTTCCCTACTTACCTTAGTGATTTTGTGATTTCAGTGAAAAAGACGCAACCTAGAGAAGACTGCGAGGTCCCATACCTTCCAGGTGGCAGAGTCGACCTTAGACAGGGTCTTGCTTTGTTGCCCGGGCTGGAATGCAGTGGTGCGATCTCAGCTCACAGCACCCTCGAACTTTCGGGCTCAAGCAATCCTCCCACCTCAGCTTCCCGTATAGCTGGGGCTACAGGCATGCACCACCATGCCCAGCTAATTTTTAAATTTTTTGTAGAGACAAGATCTCCCTCTGTTGCCCAAGCTGGTCTCGAACTCCTGGGCTCAAGCGATCCTTGAGATTTGGCCTCCCAAAGTGTTGGGATTACAGGTGTGAGCCACCGTTTCCGGCCTGACCTTTTGTAAATACTCCCAACTAATTGTTCAAATGGACTTGAACAAAAGAATCTTCTTCCCAATACTGCCAGAGAAGGCAAAATTCTTCAAATTCATGTTTGAGGCCATAAACCAACAGGATTAAAATGGAATCGGCAGCAAGCAATGACAAGAAACCCAAGACCACTCATTTCCCTCCAGCCCAAGTGGCAGATGGGATCTCAAATACACCACGGTGTGATGCGTGACAGGCTGTTCACTGGGGATGTGGAGCATTCAAAGTGCCCTGCAGAGGGTGGGCCTGGATCACCCCCCCCCCACTGCAGACACCCCGCCCTAGGCAACATTCCTGGGGAGTCTGGACCTCCCTTGGTGGACGGACTCCCGAGGGTCTCTAGGGTTTTTCACCCCACGTCGGGGTGAACTGAAGGCATGGGAAGAGGGGGCCCCACAGCCTGGGTCCCCCAAACCCCCTCCGGGCTGAGAGCAAGAGATGCCGCCTGGAGGCCACTCACCAAGCAGCTCCGCTGGCTCGGCACTCCGCTGGGTCGTCCAGGTCTGGGTCCTTGCCACCGGCTCCTCCCTCCGCCCACCCTTGCTTCCCGGACTCAAGAGCTGCTGGGCTCTCGACGCGCCGGCAGTGGGCTCCGCAAGCTGTCTCCTGCACAGAGCAGGCGGGAGGAGGGCTCTCGGTTGCTTCCCCTGCCGCAGCCGCGCGCTTCCGGCGGGGTCGCCGCCACTTCCGCTCGAGCGCGCCTCGCGCGGCGCGAGCCGGGACCCCAGGAATGGTCGGGCGCGCGGCCCAGGAGGCACCGCTGTCTCCTCACAATCGACCGGGCCTGCAGCCGCCGCCGCCGCCACCGCCGCCCTACTCAGGGAGTGGCCCAGGCCGGCGGCGCGCCACCCTCACCTCCTTCATTCCTACCAAGCCCAGCCTTGGCTACCTGATCCCCGTGTGGTCTCGAACTCGGTTAGTCTGGTGAAGGGACAGAGAAGCCTGGGTTCCCGGCGGCATCACTGAGATGCTCAGTCCTGAATTCTGCCCTCCATTAGGATTATCTGCTTTGTGGGATAATTTCCTCATTGGTTGAGTCAGTGAGTTGCGTGTCTGCAAGAGAGCATCCTATCTGGTGGGTCTTCATCTAGTTCTTGCACATTTCTTACTAAGTTCATCCTAAGAATATCTTACAGATAAGGAAACTGAGCTGCAAAGAAGTGTAAAAACAGTGGAACAGGAGATAACAGTATAAAGAGAAAAAAACATAGCCTGACTTTCCTTTATCGTTAATTGATTTGGGGACATTTTAAACTTATAGAAAGAAAAGAAACACGGGTTTTGTTGACACTTCTCAAAACAAAATTGGTGTAACACCTTTAAAATGTAAACTGTTATGCTGGATATATTTGTATTATTTTGAAGTCATTTAAAGTAATGGCATGAGGTGTTGCCTGCTGTTGGACCAGTAGTTTCTTTTTAGTATTCCAGCAAAGGCATAGTGAGGAAATAGGAAAAAAGAAGGAAAGCTGTAACAGGAAAAAAGGAAAAGGAGGAGCAGATGAAAAGGGCAGGAAAGGTTTAACATTTACGTAGCACTTGCTATGCACCAGACACTTCTAAGCTCTTTAAATTTATTAACTCATCTAGTTCTCACCACAGCCCTATGAAATGGGTATACTGTTGTCACCTCTGGTTTACAAAAAAGGCGAGTGAGGTTCAGAGAGGTTAAGCAAGTGGCCCAAGGTCATATAGTAAGTGGCAAAACTTTTGCATGAGTGCATCAGTTTGGCCCCAGAGACTGTGCTTTTTTTTTTTATTTTTTTATTTTAAAAGGGCCTCTTTCCTGTTGCGCAGGCTGGAGTGCAGTGGCACCATCATGGCTCGCTGCAGCCCCAACCTGCCAGGCTCAATGAATTCTCTCACCTCAGCCTCCTGAGTAGCTGGGACCACAGGCACATACATACCACCTTCCCCAGCTAAGCTATTTTTTTTTTTTTTTTTTTGAGATGCAGTCTTACTCTGTCACCCAGGCTGGAGGGCAGTGGTGCCATCTTGGCTCACTGCAGTGTCCACTTCCTGGGTTCAAGCGATTCTCCTGCCTCAGCCTCCCGAGTAGCTGGGATTACAGGTGCCTGCCACCACGCCCAGCTAATTTTTGTATTTTTAGTAGAGATGGGGTTTCACCAGTAGTTGGCCAGTCTGGTTTCAAACTCCTGACCTCGTGATCCACCTGCCTTGGCCTCCCAAAGTGCTGGGATTACAGGTGTGAGCCACTGCTCCCGGCCTATTCTTTTTTTTTTTTTGGTATTTATTTATTTATTTATTTGTAGTGACAGGGTTTCACCACATTGCCGAGGCTGGTCTCAAATTCTTGGGCTCAAGGGGTCCGCCCGCCTCAACCTCCCAAAGTGTTGGGATTATAGGCATGAGCCACTGTGCCTGGTCCTAGAGTTTATGCTTATTTTTTATTGATTGATTGATTGATTGATTGAGACAGAGACTAGCTCTGTCGCCCAGGCAGTGGCGTGATCTTGGCTTACTGCAATCCCTGCCTTCTGGGTTCAAACCATTCCCGTGCTTCAGCCTCTCAAGTAGCTGGGATTACAGGCATGCGCCACCATGCCCAGCTAAGTTTTGTATTTTTAGCAGAGACGGGGTTTCACCATGTTGGCCAGGCTGGTGTCAAACTCCTTACCTCAGGTGATCCGCCCACCTCGGCCTCCCAAAGTGCTGGGATTACAGGTGTGAGCCACCATGCCCAGCCTATGCTTCTAATCACCACACTATATTTCCTCTGAATAGAGGTTAAGACTTGAATCAACTGGATTTGATGCTACTGAGTAGGAGTAGACAAGAGAGGTTTGCAAGGAAATTACTCTTCCATGATGTGAGAGTATGGGCTAAAATGTTTCATAGAACAAAAATACCATGAATAAAGTTTAAAAAGAGGAAACATACAGTGCACAAAGAATTAATATCTGGAATAGATAGTGAAAACAAATGTATATAAGAAAAAGACAACCCTATAGAGAAATGGACAAATGTGTAAATAGACAATAGATGAAGAAGAATGAAATAAAACTGACCACATAAAGAAGATGCTTAACTGCGCTAGTGACGCTGGCATGCAAAGGAAAATAATAGAGAGATCCATTTTATCCCACACTGGCTAAAACTGAAATTTGAAAATATCAATTTTGTGGAAAAGTGAATATTCTTGGTAGAAGTATAAACCAGGATAGCCACTGCCAGGGGTGGGGGTAGATTTGGCAGTATTAATTGTAAAATATTAAAATTAAGTAATCTTTGAAGTAATATTGATTATAATGAAAAACACTGCTTCAGACATTCTAATTTAACTTTTTTATTCTACAGATAAACAGGAGTTCAAACAGAGGTATGCAAAATATTTAACTGGAAACATTTTTTGCATAATAGTTTAAAATTAGAAAAATGTAATTTCAGCAGGTAAATAAACTATGGTAATCATTTACTCATTCTCTAAACACATATTTGTTGATTTTTTACTAGGTATTAGGCATTATTCTGAACATTGAGGATAAATTGACAGTTATCTTTGTGAACTAGAGAAAGATGATAGGGTGGGTCAGGGGCTAATTAATATTCTCCAGCCCAGACCCTTCCCCTTAATTCTTTGTTACGTCTTGATAGAATGATTTCAGTTTGTTCTGTAAATCACACTGGACTCCCCTGTAATGACTACAGAAACAAAAAGGTTTTTTATATGGATATATGGGTATACCCCAATTTCAAGGTATAAAGGCACAATAGCAGACTCTAGGAATGAGGAAAGCTGGAAAGGAAGGGGCCATGCTGATACTGACCATCAAGAAAAGCTTGAAGAGATGTCTCAAATACCCTGATGACTTACTTTTCACTGAAATGCAAAGAAATTGGCATCTTAGATATGCTTCCAAAGATTGTGCCCTCCCCCCTGGACAGCTTTTAATGAAGGCAGGACTACAGCAAGAGAAACAGCCAGATAATTGGTTAAAAAGAAAGACTTGCAGGGGCTTGTTTCTTATTATGTTTATATGGTAAATGCCTAGTTAGGACAAAGACAAAGAGCTTGATCATGGTTTGCTCACACTATCCCTGGTGAATAGATTCAATTACAAAAGAGATTGATGCCTCAACCATAGCAAAAACCTTGTCAAGCTCTCAACTTAGATCACAACATGCTTGTTTAAAAGTGTGGAGAAGGGGCCAAGAGAGGAAACAACATGACAAGGAGTTTATAAATCTAAAGGATGACTTTCTCTCTGCATCTAACTAGTATGTGACTGCTTCTGCATTCCCTTTGATCTGTTCTTGGCTTTCTGAATGTAAATATTTTTGTCCTAAAAATTGGGGACCAGATCTGGTCCTCTCAAGGGAAAGTAAGAAGAACCCCAATGTCTTTTTTCTTCCAGCTAATTTAAAATAATTGGATTTAGCCAGTTGTGGTAGTGCATGGCTGTAGTCCTAGTTATTCAGGAAGCTAGGGCAGGAGGATGGCTTGAGCCCAGGAACTCCAGGCTAGTGCGCTATAACTGCCGCTATGAATAGCTACTGCACTCCAGCCTGGGTGACAGAGCAAGACTCCGTCTCAAAAAAAAAAAAAAAAAAAAAAAAGCATATTGGATTTGACAGCAGAAAGCCTTCCAAAATGAGGAAAGATGGGACCTGGACTCAGTAAAAATCCCAGCCTCCCAGAGTGCTGGGAGTACAGGTGTGAGCTACCATGCCTGGCCTAGGTATTTCATATATATGAAATCATACTGTATTTGTCTGAGGGTCAAAGAGTTTTACTTGGCCATGAATATCAGACAGCACAAGTTGCTCTTAACTATTTAAAGATGAATTATAATCAAGAACCAGAAAGGGCCAGGCCTGGTGACTCACACCTGTAATCCCAGCACTTTGGGAGGCTGAGGCAAGTGGATCACGAGGTCAGGAGATCGAGACCGTCCTGGCCAACATGGTGAAACCCTATCTCTACTAAAAATGCAAAAATTAGCTGGATGTGGTAGTGTGCGCCTGTAGTCCCAGCTACTTGGGAGGCTGAGGCAGAAGAATCTCTTGAACCTGGGAGGCAGAGGTTGCAGTGAGTCAAGATCATGCCACTGCACTCTAGTCTGGCGACAGAGTGAGACTTCGTCTCAAAAAAAAAAAAAAAAAAAAAATTCCCAACAAGACCCCAGACATCCCCAGTTGGTTACTATTGTTAGAGAATCCCCAAACCAAATTCCTAGGGAAGGCTATGCCTTGCTCTTTGTTTTTGTTTATTCTTTTGAGACGAACTCTGTCACCCAGGCTGGATTGGAGTGGTACGATGAAAGCTCACTGAAGTCTTGACCTCCTGGGCTCAAGCAGTCTTCCTACCTCAGCCTCTAAAGTAGCTGGGACTATAGGTCCATGCCACCATGCCCAGCTAATTTTAGTATTTTTTGTAGAGATGGAGTTTCGCCATGTTGCCCAGGCTGGTCTCAAGCTCTTGGGCTCAAGCAAGCTGTCTGCCTGCCTCAGCCTCCTAAAGTATTAGGATTACAGGCTTGAGCCACTGTGCCCCACTGGCCATGCCTTTTAATATATATTAGTCAGAACCTTCTTTGAGAAATTTTTGGTAAGGATCTGCTGGTAATTT